TTATTGGGATAGAGCCATTGCCATTGTTATTACCCTCTTCTTTGTTTTTTCTATTGTTTGCTGTGAAAACAGTCTTCTGTGTAGTGTTGACAACTTTTATTGGATGCTTCCTAGACTTTCTTAGGTGAACCAGTCATTGTTAACTTATTAGAATTTATAGCACCACTTTGGTTACCAGGTCACTCTGATAAAAGGGGACTTCATGGTAAAATAAACATGCTAACATGCTAATACTGGAGGTTGCTATGTGTCATGGCACAGATAGGGAGTATTGGCGTGTTTGGGTTGAGTGTAAGGGAAAGTCCTGCCCTCCAGCTTTAACAAAAGGTCCACTGTGAGGTCCAATGTGTAGTGTTGTCATAATCAGAGACTGACTGTTTAATAAAGATTATAAGATATAATCTTTGTTTAATAATTAAACCAATTTCACAAGCACACCCTTCGCAAAGCATTATTAAATAAAACTGCACCTGTTGATGTTTACGATGTGCCCATCATCCACGTTTCTCTCTTTCATTGACTGATAAGCTTCACGCGTGCAGATGCTCAGTGCAAATACGTTCACCTGTAAGGAACGAAGCAGAGAAATAAACAGTAAAGAAAATGTATCTGGAATCAACACCTCCAAATAGCACATCTACTTATTGCATCTCACACACAGTGGGTATAAATGCATTAAGACCACTGATCGGTGACCACACGCATCATGTTGTTACATTTTAATGATCTGTTGGGAAAACATTCATGTGAATCTTACATTCAATTCAATTCAATTTTATTTTATTTATATATAAATAAATCACAACAGCAGTTGCCTCAAGGCACTTTATATTGTACAGTAGATTGTACAATAATAGATACAGAGAAAAACCCACAGAAATCACACACTAAAACATTTGTAGACCAAACCAAGATGTGAGCTCTTACATCCATCATGTTCTTCCAGCTGCTGGTTTTGCCACTTAGCAGAGGTTCTGGATGAGATAAGCCAGCATTGTTGATGCACACGTCCACACCTTTGTGCTGCTCTTTGATCGCTGCAAACATGGCCAGAATCTCCTCCTCTTTGGTCAAGTCACACTTGAAAGGAACCAAAACACCAGGATGACCGGCACTCTGACACTCTGCTGCCAGTTTCTGAAACCAAGAAGAAAAAGATGACAGACTTTAGAATCCACTTTGTGTTTTTAAAGTGTATGAATTTGCCATTCAAATGTTATTTTGCCACAGTCCTGGGTCTGCGACCCAGTGTTTTGGTTTAAGTTTTATTCCTTGAATTATTGTTCTCTGTTATATTATGTTTATAGTTCATGGTTTCTGTTCTTGTTCTGTGCCTCATGTTTCCTTGTCTCTGTGTGAAGCCCGTGTTTTTGAGCCTGTGTCGGTAAGTTCAGTACTTCCTGTTTTACTTTGGTAGTCTTCAGTCTGTGTGCATTGGGTTCTGTTTTGCTGTCCTGTTTCACTGTGTTTCCCAGGTGTTTGTTCTTTGCCTTGTTCCCCTTTTGTATTTACTGTGTGTTTGCCTTTGCTGTGAAGTTACTGCAAATATGTAGATTGGAGTTTTCATTCTGCATATCAGAACTCAATAACTAACAGTGCATTTTCTTTTTAGCGTATCATCTGACTCTAGCATATTCTTCTGTCATGCCAATTAACCTTCACTACATCATGAATCTTCTCTGTGGTCTTCTTCTTTACTTTCTGCCTGGAACTCTATATTCCATATCCTTTGTCCTATATATCCACTATCCTT